CGGCGAGCCCGCAGCGGACCTTCCCACCAGTGCCCGGCTCTCCAGTGCCTGCCCCAGGGAGTGACCAGCCTCCGCTCCGGTGAGTGGCACATTTACACGGCCACGGCCTGGAGGGATGCTGGCAGCAAGCTGGCTTCCCCAAACCTCTGCCACGTCATGTAGAGCCGTGGGCATCCTGTCCGGGTACCTGTGGACACCGCAGGGGATGGCCATGCCACCCACGTCTGCGTCCCTGCCTTGCTCCTTGGTTTCACCCATGGCTGTTGATGTTCCGCTTTGACTCCTTGGGTCCTCCTGCTCTGCTCTTTGTGGTTGTCCCTTCCTTTCCCTTCTGATGTTCTGCTTTTATTTTTTGACAAAGCTGAGGACAGAGATGGTGTTTAGCTCTTCATAATCCCTCTGTTGACACTGTGCTGCTGAGACCCTGTGCAGGCTGGGTCACACCTGCATGGCATGGAGCTAACCCTCTCCAATGCAGCCTGGCTCCATCCACCCTGGGCTGGGGTGACAGCAACCCCCAGCTCCCTCCTTTGCTTCCCCTCGCCGTACTCTCCGCTCCAGGCACAGCATTGAACCACCTGCGGCTCCAGGAACCACTTAACACGTCGATGTCTTGCATTTGCCATCTTCCGACTGGCCTCCCATGTTCTCCCAAGCCAGCAAAGTCCTCAACCCCTCGTGCTGGGACTGTGATGTGCCAGGATGACCAGCAACAGGACAGCCCTGCTAGGAAGCCAACCGTTTTCCAGTACCAGTAGAAAAATGGTGACTGGGTCTGCTTCTTGCTGGCTGGTGGACAAGGTAAGACAACTGAAAGGAGGACTGGGAGGCTGCCCTCCATGACGGAGGTCCACAGCCAGTCCTTTGACCAGGGTCTCCTCCCTCTTCGGTGGCTTTTCCTCCACATCCTTCCCCTTTGATGCTCATCCCAGCATCCTGCACAGCATCAGCGAGACACAGCCATGGCTTTGCATGACCGGGGGCCCTAAGCCCAGCTAGCGGGCCCACACGCTTCCCATATTTGGGCACCAGACACCTGAGGCGGTGGTGGAGATGGAGGATGCGTGGCTGTGACGTGTGCCACGAGGACCAGTGCCTCAGGCTGCGCAACGCCCCGTTCTGCAGGACCGGGCTCCCCAACGCCTCCTGGCATCAGTGCAGAGGACCCTGGCAATGAGTGTTTTCCCTTCACCCCTGCCCACGGGTCTCAGGAAATGCGTACCAGGCAGATAAGTCACTTCCAGCCCAGATCTGGGCTTTCTCGAGGGACAAAAGGGCCTAGCTTCCTCCTTCTCTCCTCCCAGACAGGGAGGCAGCCGTTCCCCTCACCCTGGCACAGGCAGGCATTGCCTCTCCCTGTCCACCTCATCAAAACCACAAGTTTACTGTGGGGCTGTCGTGTTCTCCACCCATCCTGCTCTCGGGCTATCTACCCAGGCTGGCAGCTTATCTGGGAGTCCGGGGCTGGGTGAGAGCCATGAGTGAGCTTGCTGTTTGCAAGGGTCAAACCCCTTTCCGCTGTTGGGATGGAGGGTTGGTGCTTCTCCCCTCTCCTTCCCTCTGCACAGCCATGCCCCATGCAATCTGAGATGGAGAAGCCTGCTCAGGGCACCACGGTGATGTGGGGTCGGTGGCTGAGGGGTCTGCAGGTATCCCCCAGGCAGGACCTCAGGGGACATCCTATTGCTGCAGGGCATGGGGCACCCTTGCCTGGGAGCATCCAGAGGCTCATCAACGTGAGAGTGCCCAGACAGGCTTGATCTTGCTCCTCCTTGGTCGTTTCCTCTTGCTCGGTTGTCACTTGTGGGACTTGCTGATGCTCAGCTCACTTATTTCCCCAAGGATAAACCTATTTGTCCGTGGGGACCTCATGGGAAGTTCAGTTTTGGTATGTAATCCTGGTCAGGTTCTCCTATATTCCTGTTTGCTGCCTGACGGCCTCTTTCTTGGGCATGACTTGACGCATCTGTGGAAAAGAAACTTAAAAGGCAAAGTTGTCTGCTCCTGCTGGGATCTGGTGACGTGAAACACAGCATATGCTCTCATCTGCCCGCATGCTGCTTGTGTTGGAGACCACATCTGCAGGACCTCAGCAGCTCTCTTGGGCTGCTTCTCTTACCTTGCAACTGCATCCCAGAGAGGCTGCTTTGGAGCATGACCTGGATGGGATGGGGGTCCACCTGTGGACCAGTGTCTGAGGGCCTTGTTGGAGATGGCAGCCCTCTAAGATTACACCCAGTGCTCTCTTCTCTCCGGCGGATGCTGGAGCAGGGGGTCAGGATATGGGCAGGCAAATGCGTCTTCTGCAGCTGTGTCTCTTGAGAAGCAAAAGATGCCCTTGTAGGAGGGATTGGGCTCTGTCTCTGCTCACCGGGCAGCCAGGTCTGGGGGTGACCTAACGGGCTCATAACTTTTGTGTCGGTGTGAGGACCGTCCTGGTGATGCAGAACTGCCCCTGCTGCTGAGTACGACCCTCACAGGGTCATCGCACTACGATGGTACGGGCACCCTCCTAGGTGGGTGCACATTCACTACCTGGGGATGGGCTGATCCCAGCAGAAGGCAGATGAGGAACCCCAAAGACTCCAGTCTCTTCCTGTCCCCTGTCCCTGCATTCCCACCCCTGCTTGAGATGATCAGCAAGGAGACCTCAGCTTGCCTCGAGACATCCAGGACCTTGTCACTCCCATGCAATGGCTTTCCTGCTTGGCTTGTCCGTGGCCTGGAGGGGCTACTGGTGGGTTTTTCCCAGGGTTGTTGGACAAGCTGCACCTGCACCTGGAAAGCGGGCATCTCCGGTCCATTCGCAAGCCTGTACCTGGGGCCGGGGTGAAGAGGAACACGTGGGAATGTGACTGCCTCTCCAGTGAGGAGGAGAGGAGACCTGCGACCTAGATTTCCAACCTTGGGGTCTGGACCACGTGCTGGAGCAACGGGTGGTGCGAGGGAGAGCCCTGGGGTTTGCAGGGGCTTGAGCCTCGCTGTAACATTAACTAGCTGTCTGCCTGCCTTCATCTGCACCTTATCCCTTCTTCTGCTGGGTGGGGACTACTCCAGCATAAAAATAACACAGCAGAAAGCTGCACGTGGGTTTTTGTTTGGTCTTGCTAAAGGCAGATATGTTTGCCATCAACAACACTCCTGGCTGAGCCCCAAAGCATGAACAACTGCCTTCAGGTGGGTGGCATGACAGATCTACTTGCCAAGGTGAGAAGACAGCAAGGGCTTTCCAGGCAGGAGGAGCGGAGCTTTGTTCTCCTGCGAGAGCTAGGGTGCCAAGACAGTTCCGCGAAAGCGAGGCGCAGGAGGAAGGCCTCCGCTGCTCCCTGGGACAGTGTTTTCCTTGGCTAACGAGGAGGGAACTGATGTCCTTGTGTGTGTTGGCAAGAGGGAAGCAGCTGTAGCCTGGAGGGTACAGGCAGTCAGGGAGGTGTCTTTGCAGAGAGCAGAATTTGGGGTCCTGGGGCAGATGAGGAAACTGCTTCTGGGCTTTGCCGACAGAGGTTGGGGAGACCCCAAGGGATCTCCTGGGGTGAGAGTGGCCCGCAGAGATTTCCTTAGCAGGGAATGGAGAGTGATGGAGCTCCTGCTGGAAATGGCTCCTTACTTTTAAAGTCAAAGCAGAACATCTGCAAAATAAATGAAAACCTCTTTGTGTCTAAAAGAAGCAACTGATGCTCCTTAAATTCTGGGCGAAGACATCAGCTGGAGGGGGAAAGCCAGAGCACTATAGGAAAGTCATACCCGGGGTTAAAATTATCCTGGGAAGGGCCGGGAGTAAAAATACTACCGCTCTCAACTTAGAGGAGCCTGGAAGACCTCTTGGCAGTGCCGTGATGGTGGGGCAAGACCTCCAAAGGAGCCCAGCTGGTGAGAGGGGCCGAGTAGCCCTCCCACAAGGGAGGACTGGAGGTAGCACTGGCTGCATCCGCAGTGGGAGTCCAGGTACCTGAAGGCAGAGTCTCCTGGCTTGAGACCGTTGTCCCTTTGCCTCATACAGGTAGCTAGACTTTGAGGACCTGGAAGGAGGTTGTGGCCACTGGGACAAGTCGGAAAAGGCACATCTGATGTTGGACTAGGTCCTGTTCCTCACTGGGGATGACCACAAGGTCCTGTTTCCCGCTGTCTGGTCCCCGTCGTGCCTGTGCTGCCCACGCTGCCCGCCCAAGCTCCACTGGCCCCTCTCTCATCACACGCTCCCAGCATCCCATCAGGAAACCCCTAAACCCACCTCTGCCTCTTGGTTTGGGTCCTTAGTCCTGAGGTCACCCGGTGCTGCTGCCTCCTCCCACCCTGCAAGAAAGGGACAAGCTGTGGCTGAGGTTGGGGATCCACCTTTTACAGACACAAAAATATGACCTGAGCTGGCGTATAATACCGTACCTTCGAGCAATGCCACAATTCGTTGTCCTGACCCTGGCAAGAGAGAGGACCACAGCCAAGTCCTGCACGTTGCCGAGGCTGGAAGGGCTGTCCCTGCTCACATTGCTTTGGCTTTTTTTTCCCGCTGACTTTATTTCTTTGCCTTTTTTTTGTGTGTGTGTGTGCGTATGTGTGCACTTTGCTTAAGCAAGGACTTATTTTCATCATTTTCTGCCTACATGTGGTCTGTTTGGCCATGTCATTTGTACCCTGGCAGCCTGGAGCTTGCTGGATCTCAAAGGGGGATGAAAAGACGAGAGGTTTGTGTGTGTCTCCCCAGCAGTGAGTCAGCCCCAGATGCAGTGATGGACTGGGGAAATCAGGGTCTGGGACATCCCGATTTCCTAGGTCTGCAGTCGTTCCCTGCAAAAGCCCTGATGGAGAGAAACTTCAGAGAGGGACGAGCTTTCCCCCCACCCCCAGCAAACCCTTTGTGCAACTTTTCTGTTTGCTTTTCAGCCCAGTTCCCAGACAGACCTATTCATGAAACAACCCACAATAATTTCTGGATGACTTTCTCCAGAGAATCCAGCACACCGCGTTATCAGCAACATGCAAGTTTGCTTTCCGAGTCGTTTTGAAACCTATCACACGCCGGGCCTCCTCTTCCGCTGCTGGGCAGCCACCAGTCCATTAGCACCTACCTAAATTGATATCTAGTTAATTTTACACTTTGCTGAGCGAGTGAGACATGGCCATTTAATTAGTTCCCATTAATTTCAACAGCTCTCCTGGGACATTGGAGTCAGCCTGCTCTGCGGTGACGTTGCCTGTCAATACCAGCTCCCTCTGAAAGGATGATCAGGGCCAACGGGAGCAAATGCATCCAGCTGGGA